GGTCTGCTTTCAGCACCACGGACAGCTCCGGCCTTATTTTTACCGGTTGGGAATAAAAAAAAAAAAACGCCGGTAAAAGTTTGTCTCGCGCGTGCCCGGGATGAACCGTGACCGGGGGGCGCGTGCCAGCCGTTGGGGCGCGTGCCGGGTCACGTTCAGGGTCTCACGGCCATCTGCTTTCAGCACCACGGACAGTTCCCTTGATATTTTTACCGGTTGGGAATTAAAAAACGCCGGTAAAAGTTTGTCTCGCGCGTGCCCGGGTTGAACCGGAGCTTCCCTATGGAGGCACCGGGACCAGGGGGCGCGTGCCGGACGTTGGGGCGCGTGCCGGCCGGTGCGTTCAGGGTCTCACGGCCATCTGCAGCAGCAGCACGGGCCGGTTCTCGGCCGGGTGGGACTTGTTGATGTGTCTCGTGAGCCCCGGTGAGCTGAAGAACGTGGACGGACAGTACTTGCACGTGAAGATCTGCTGTTGCTGAGGCGTCTCGCGCTCCCCGGGGCCGCCGTTATCCGCCTCCCGGTGCGCGTGGAAGACGTCCGCGCGGCGCGCGCCCCCGAGAGTCTCCGCCAGCAGCTCCTCCCGCATCGCGTGCCACAGCCGGTGTTTGTCTCTGATCTCCGCCGACGGGAAGCGCGCGCCGCACAGGTGGCACAGGAACACCTGGCCCTGGCTTCCGGTGGCCTCGCGCGCGTGGCCGTAAGGAGACACGGGTGGGGACGCACGCGCTGTTGTTGTGGTGGTCTCGTGCGCCGCCAGGTGCTTCTTGAGGTAGGCCATGCGGCGGAACCTCTTCCCGCAGTACCGGCAGTCGTACAGCTCCTCTTCCGGTACCGACCGCGCGAACGGGAGCTGCGCGTGCGCGGGAGAGAGGTCCGCGCGCGCCCCGGGGCTCCCGGTGAGCATCAGGAGCCCGGAGGGGGGGCTGTCGGCCGGGTTCGGGTTCCGGTTCCGGTACCGGGACCCCGGGGGGTCGTAGTGAGTGAGCGGGGAGCTGTCCGGGGCCGCGTGGTGCTGATTGACGTTGCTGATGACCCCCAGCAGCTGCTGCGCGTTCTCCTTCCCCTCCAGCTCCGTGGGCGCGTGCGTGGCGGGCACGTGCGCGTCCTTGAGCGGCTCCGGGCCCGCATGGGCCGCCGGGGTGCCCGGTTGGCCCGGTTGGGCCGGGCGGGGCTTGTGCCAGCGCCGGTGGGAGGCCAGGTTCGCGGGGCAGCTGAAGACCTTTTCGCACTCCGGGCACCGGTACTCCACGCGCACGATGCGCGAGCACCGGTGCTGCGCGAGCGAGAACGGGTCCGGGTACTCCTCCCGGCACAGCTGGCAGATGAACTCCCCCAGCGGCCGCCCCCCGCCACCGGAGGCCCCGGGGGGCTTCTCCCGGGGCCTCCGCGGGTCCGGGCCCTCCTTCTTGATCCGCAGACCCAGGACCGGGGACGTGGTGACGTCATCCTCGAAGTTGAGCTTCCGGTTGGCTTTGGGCTTCTTGGGGGGGTTCCCCGGTCTTTGGGGCTGTTTGGCGGCGTGGTGGTGATGGTGCTCGTGCTGTTGCTCGTGGGTCATCAGCGTGAGCGGCGGGAACACGTGCACGCGCGCGTGCGCCACTCCGGGGTCCCGGTGCTGCCCGTGGGGCTGCGCGCGGTGTCCAGTCGCGAGGAGCCTCTCGATGGACGCGGGGGGCACGAGGAACGGGAGGTCCGGGAGGTCCGGGGGCGCGAGACCCACACCGGGGAACGGGAGCGCGTGCTGCTCCACCACCACCTGCGCGCGCGTGCCCACCGGGGGGGGATAGAAGTCCCCCTCCAGACCCAGAACATCCACCTCGCGCACATCTTCCTCCTCTTCCTCCTCGGTCTCGGGCAGCTGCGCGCGCCGGTCCGTTTCTGACTCCACGTGCGGGCTCCACGCGCCCCGGACGCCCTCCGGTGGGTCCCCGGTAGGACCCCCGGTAGGACGCCGGTAGGACGCGGGCGCGCGCCGCTTCCGCTTCACCAGGAATCCGCGAGGCATCGTGGCGCGTGGCAGCGGCAGGATGAAAGAGAGTGGAGTGGAGTCTGAAGCCCACTTTGAAGTGCGCGAGGAGAGGAGAGACTGTATGGGGGGGGGGGGGAGAGGCGCGAGCAGGATGGATGAGCGCGCGAGAGAGTGAGGCAATAGGGTTTGACACACACGCGCACGGGCACGCGCTGATTGGCTTTACGTTGAGTGGTTGTTCCCAATTTAGGCCAGTTAACAGCAAATATTTAACACCTTAAATCAGGGGCCAAATAGAGACACCCCCCCCCAAAAAAAGAGAACAAAATCTATTCGGAAACTTGGTAAACGGGAAATTAAAGATGTTTATTTTTCATTAACGGAAAACCGTCCAGATGTAACAACCTGAAGGAGGATTTCATTCATTCTTTCTGAGCCTCTGAGAACAAGCCGTAACCGGAAATAAATCAATAAAACACAGAAATGTATAAATAAACACATTTATCTGTTTGTTTTCTGTCACAGAAGGAAAAAAAAGGAACCAAGGTGAAGAAAGCTTGATTTCTTTTACATTATATGTTTAATTTCTGTTGTATTTTTCTTTCTACTAATGACTTTTTAAGTTGTTTTGCTGTTGGTGTTTAATAGTTCCGGTAATCAGCTAAACTTTAGGAGAAAAAAAACGAGAAACACAACATAAAAAGGCAGAGATCGTATCTGTTTTAAATCCACTAATGATGGTTTCTGTCCGGGTAAAGTTTCTGATTAGTGACGGGGGGAAAACTTCGAGCATCGCTTTCTCTCTTGCTGTCGACGCGCGCGCTCGTGCGCGTGCACGAGGGGCTTTATCTCTCGGGCATAATAGAGGAGAGAGATGGAGATGGTGATGTGATGTGTGGTTCCCCCCCATCCCCCCTCCAGAATCTGCTCTAGCTGATAAGAGATCGGAGCCCCATCCCTCCATCCGACCCCCAGAGCTCCGGCCAACGGGAGAACCATCTAGAGGGTGTAGGGGGGGACTAGTTTATGTTTATGTTTATGTTTCTGCATTTGTCAGACGCTTTTATCCAAAGCGACTTACAGAGTAGAAACAGTATTCCATTTCTCATCACTATGACAATAAGCTATCCAGAGGAGAAACCCTGATCAGAGTCAGTGGTGAGATAGAGATAGAGGTAGAGGGACTACAGAAGGAGCTGTGGGGGGGTAGAGGTACGGGTT